CGGTCCAAGATTATCTTCTTTGTCTGTGTTAATTGGTTTCCCTTTTCTTTGTTGAAGAGGGTCTGTGCAGTCCTTCTGCCTAGTCCGCCATCTTGCGGGAATTCCCCCGGGTGGACTTTTTTTAATGGTATGTAAGTTATATATTTTTGGCATTTAAAAAGGTAATAATGGAATTCACAAAGATGAAGCAGCATTACATGTATTTTCTGTTTGGAGAAAACCTTAATTCTGTGGAAAAATAAGAGCAGAAATCAGTGTTAAATTTTATGAGACATTGTATGAATTATTATATATTTTTTTGCATTCCTAAATTCTCTTAAATACTTAAAGTTTCATAAATAGTTTAGTAAGTTTGATCTGAGATTCTGACTATAAAACTCAGATCAGGGTCTTTCTCATAAAGTACCCTTGAAGATCTTGGCATTCTTAAGTCAGGGTGCCACTTAACTTTATGAATAAAATGATGTCTCCCAGTGTTGTGGCTACAAAGAAATTTTCAGATCTCTATGACCATAGCGTAAATGTGGAAGTGTAGAGATATAATGTGATGATTATACAAGTACATTTGCATATTAATTTGTCCTGCAATCTTACAAATAGCTTTTTAGGTTGATATAATTTCACAACTCCTTCCTGATAATTTAGTAGTTTGCTTGTTAATATAACTGAGTTGAACAGGGGTTAGGGTGACTTAGAAAATTACTAAGTTCTATCTTCATTTTGCTTGCACTGTGCAAGTTGATGGTTGAAAGCATCTTTAAAATTAGCTGACTCTTAAGTTTTACCACATGTTCTTGAGGGTTTACTCAGAAGTGATGATCACTTTCTTGCAGACTGTTGGTGGTGGCACGGTGCCAGAGAGAGTCCCAGAGTTGGATGGTGGCGTACCCACAGAGCAAGACAAAAACCATTCTGACAGTAGCACCTTGTCAGACAGAAGGCTCAGTAACTCCAGCCTTTGTAGCATTGATGAAGAGCACCGAACAGTGTATGAAATGGTGCAGCGGATTCTCTTGTCAACACGAGGTTATGTCAATTTTGTCAATGAAGTATTTCGCCAGGTTAGTGTGTGTACGTGTAGTGTAAGTTTATGAAACTGAAGGGTTTTTTTTTTTTTTACTTATAAAATTCCAAGAAATACTATTGATGAGTTGGACTATATTAAAGAACTGAAAAATAACCCCTTTAATCCTAACTTGCTCATATGCAAGTTCAAATTGAAGCTGAAAAAGATTAAAACAAGTTCATGAGAGACAAAGTGCAGCCTTGAGTGTATCCCACCTGAATTTAGAGACCACCTCAAGAATAGATTTGACTCATTGAACACTAATGAGTGAAGACCAGGGTTATGGGATGACATTAAAGACATCATACGGGAAGAAAAAGATAGGAAAGAAAAAACAAAATGCATTTCAGAAGAGACATTGAAACTTTCTCTTGAAAATGTTCTTGTTGTTAGGTGCCATCAAGTCATTTCTGACTCATAGCGACCCCATGCCCAGCCAGCAGAATAACACTGGCTGGTCCTGCGCTAGCTCCATGATCATTGCTATATGTGAGCCCATCACCATAGCCACTGTGAAAATAGGGTAGCTAAAGCAAATGGAAGAAATGATAAAGTAAAAGAGCTCAACAGAAGATTTCAAAGGGTGGCTTGAAATGACCAAGTATTATAATGAAATATGCACGGCACATAACAACAACAACAACAATGCAAAGACCTTGAATTAGAAAACCAAAAGTAATGACCACACTCAGCATTTCTCAAGCTGAACGAATTGAAGAAAACATTCAAGTCTCAAGTCACAGCACTGAAAGATTCTCTGAAGAAAATATTGAACCACAGAGAAAGTATCAAAAGAAGATGGATGGAATAGAGAGTCACTGTCCCAGAAAGAATTGGTCATTGTATAAGTGTTTCAGGACATATCATATGATCAAGAACTGATGGTACTGTAAGTCATCATCATTTCTGAGTCAACTCTCAAAAACACGTAGTAAGGCTCCAGGAATTGACAGAATACCAATTGAGATGTTTTCAACAAATGGGTGCAGTGCTGAAAGTGTTCCCTCATTTATGCCAAGAAATTTGGAAGACAGCTATCTAGCCAACGGACTGGAAGAAATCCATATTCATGCCCATTTCAAAGAAAGGTGATCCAACAGAATTAGGAAATTATCAAACAATATAATTAATATCACATACAAGTAAAATGTTGCTGAAGATAATTTTAAAACTGTTGCATCAGTACATTGATAAGGAACTGACTGGAATTCAAATTGGATTCAGAAGAAGACGTGGAAAGATGGATATCATTGCTGATGTCATATGGAACTTGTCTGAAAGCAGAGAATACCAGCAAGATGTTTACTTGTGTTTTATTAACTATGCAAAGCTGTTCAACTGTGTGGATCATAATAAGTATGGGTAACATTGCAAAGAATGGGAATTCCCAAACACTTAATTGTGCTCATGTGGAACTTGTACATTGACCAAGAAGCTTTCATTTGAGCCGAACAAGGAAATGATGCATGGTTTAAAGTTACGAAAGGTGTGCATCAGGGTTGTATCCTTTCACCATCTTATTTGATCTCTACACTGATCAAACAGTCTGAGAACCTGGACTATATGAAGAAGAACATGGCATCAGGAGTGGAGGAAGACTTGTTAACAACCTGTGATATGCCATGACACAACTTGCTTGCTGACAGTGAAGAACACTTGAAGCGCACTTACTGATGAAGATCAAAGACTTTGGTGAAGATCAAAAACTACAGTCTTAAGTATGGGTTACATGTCAACATAAACAGAGAAAATATGAAAATTGTCAAGAATTTCATTTTACTTGGATCCACAATCAAGACCCATGGAAGCAACAGTGAGGAAATCAAATCTGCTTCAGAAGGTCTCTTTAAAGTGTTAAAATGCAAAGATTTTGCCTTGAAGAATAAGGTGTGCCTGACGCAAGCCACGGTATTTTCAGTACTCTTAAACACATGTGAAAGCTGAACTGTGTATAAGGAAGACCAGAGAATTGATGTGTTTGAATTATGGTGTTAGCGAAGAATGGTAAATATAACATGGGACACGAGAAGAATAAACAAATCTGTTTTGGAAGAAGTGCAGCTAGAATCATCTTTGAGAATGAGGGTGGTGAGACTTCATCTCTGGACCTTTGGACATTTTATCAAGAGGGACCAGTCCCTGGAGTAGGACATCATACTTACAGGGTCAGTGAAAAAGAAGACGACCCTCAAGGAGTTGGACTGACAAAGTGGCTGCAACAATGGGGTGTGATTTTCAGGATGGTGTAGGATTGGGCAGTGTTTTGTTCTGTTATACATAGGATTGTACATAGGGTTGCTCTGAATCAGAACTGACTTGATATCTAACAACACTACTTCCACTTGTCTGTTTGTTGTACTGTGGTAGCTTGCGTGTTGCTGTGATGCTGGAAGCTATGCCCTGGATACTGATACTGACAGGGTCACCCAGAGTGGACCAGTTTCAGTGGAGCCTCTGGACTAAGACAGACTAGGAAGAGGCAGTCACTTCTGAAAAAATAAGCCACCAGAAGTCTTATGAATACCAGTGCAACATTGTGTGATATAGTGCTGGAAGATGAGCTGGAATTGGGTTGGAAAGCACTAAAGGTATGACTGGGCAAGATCTGCCTCCTTAAAGTAAAGGTGACATTACAGACATGTATGGATTAAAGCTTTTAGGACCTTCATTTACTGATGTGGCATGAATCAAAATGAGAAACAGCTGCAAATATCCATTAATAGAATGTGGAATGTGTGAAATACGAATCTAGGAAAAATTAAAATGAAATGCATAAAGATCAATATCTTAGGCATTAGTAAGTTGAAGTGGACTTATTTTGGCCATGGCCATTTTGAATCAGACGATCATATGGTTTACCATGTCTGGAATGACAAATTGAAGGGGAATGGCATTGCATTCATTGACAAAAAGAACTATCCTGAAGTTCAATGCTGTCAGTGATAGGCTAATATCCACATACCTACGAGGGAGACCAGTTAATGCTACTATTATTCAAACTTACCCAATGACCACTAAAGCCAAAGATGAGAAAATTGAAGATTTTTTCACCAACTTCTGCAGTTTGAAATTGATCAAACATGCAATCAAGAGATACCGATTATTTCTGGTGATTAGAATGTGAAATTTGGAAACAAAGAAGAAGGATCAGTATGAAAATACATCTTTTATGATAGAAATAACAGCAGAGATCACATGCAGGATTTTGCAAGACCAAGGATTTATTCATTGCAAATACCTTTTTTTCAAACAACATGAATGGCAACTATACGCATAGACCTTGCCAGATGGAATCCATAGAAACCAAATCAACAGCATGTGTGGAAAGAGATGATGAAGAAGCTCAAAATCATCTGTTAGTAGAAGGTCAGGGGCCGACTGTAGATTAGACTGAATTGCTCATACACAAGCAAGTTGAAGCTGAAGAAAATTAAATCAAGTCCATGAAAGCCAAAATATGACCTTGAGTATATCCTACCTGGATTTAGAGGACATGTGAAGAATAGATTTGATGCACTGAACATCAGTAACTGAAGACCAGAGGAGTGGTGATATGATATCAAGGGCATCATACATGGAGAAAACAAAAATAATTAAAAAGACAGGAAAGGAAGAAAAGACCAAAGTGGATGTCAGAAGAGAATCTGAAAGTTGTTCTGGAACAGAGAGTAGCTAAAGCGAATGAAAGAAATGATGAAGTAAAAGATCTAAAGAGATGATTTCAAAGGACAGCTTGAGAAGACAGAGTCAGTTATTATAATGAAATGTGCAAAGACCTGGAGTTAGAAAGCCGAAAGGGAAGAACATGCTTGGCATTTCTCAAGCTGGAAGAACTGAAGAAAAAATTTAAGCCTCAGATTGCAATATTGAAAGATTATATGGGCAAAATATTGAATGATGCAGGAAGCATCAAAAGAAGATGGAAGAAATGCACAGAGTCACTGTACCAAAAAGAATTAGTCGATGTTCATCCATTTCAGGAGGTGGCATATGATCAAGAACTAATGGTATTGAAGGAAGAAGTCGATGTTGCACTGAAGGAATTGGTGAAAAACAAGG